AGGGGCGGCCCGCGCCCCTCTCAGTGGGGGGCGCCCCGACTCGCCGGTGCCCTCGGCGGCCCGGGTGGGACGTGACCCCGCCCCCGGCGAGTCGGGGCGCCCCCCACTGAGAGGGGCGCGGGCCGCCCCTAACCCCAGGGCCGGGGCGTATAAGGGAGGCCCAGCCGGGAAAATGTCTCCGGTCTGTGTGCGCAGCTTCGCGCGAGGGTCAGCGGTGGGGCAGCGGCGGCCCAAGCTGCCCGGCCCTGCCCACGAACGGGCTCCCACGGCTCGACAGCTGCCCGACGGGCTAGCAGGCTCCGAACGTCGACGGAGCCCATCCAGAGGTAACAGAGCAATGCCATGCGAGCAGCCCAACAGCGCTCAGGGCAGTTCCCCAGCCAATCTCGTGCTTTGGGGCCCGTTTAAATTGTAAATCCCACAAAGGACGGTGGCCTGGACGCTACACATCCAAGTGCTTGAGGTTGGAAGCAAGGCACCTTCCCCTTGCTGAGTGGTGTCACACAAATCTTTTTCTCCCTGCCTTGGTTTCCAACTCTTCAGCTTGATCCTGAAGAGTGTAGAATGGAAGAGCAGAGCACGGTGTATCTATCAAAAAAACGTCCATAAACAGCCTTCTAGGTCTTTTAGGAAGACGTTAGTGATTGACAGTTGGAAAAAATGATACTTTCTTTTTCTATCACAGTTTGAACTGGTGTAAAGACTCTCCTTAAACACAAAGTATTATTTAATAAAGTACAAGCTTTTGCTAAGGCACACGGGATTTTTACAGACATTCTCTGCTTTGTTTCACATCTTTAGTAGACAAGAGAAAGAGCTTTGTGTTTTTAAATTTGTTTTACAGATAGACAATTGGATTATAAAGTAAACCGCCTGCATAATTACTGGGAGAAAGAGATCCACAGTTCTGCAACTGTCAACAGAAACATCTCACAACAACAATGGTTGGTTAGTATAGACCATCATCCTGCAGCCAGTCTCTGAGCAACATCGTTCTTTATTCTGATTTCAGTTGTTTTTCAGACTTAATTTTTTAGGGCATCGCTACAAAGAGATTAAATGCTGAAACTTTAACAGAGTTAAGGCCTCTTTCCGTCTTTCCAGGCTATAGTAAAAGTTGTAAAATGAGTACTCTTTCCCAGGTGTGGTGACTTAGAGGAAATCCTAGAACTCCAGAGGCTGAAGCAAGAAGATTCCCATGAGTTAAAAGCCAACCTGGATTAGACAATGAGTTCCAGGCCAACCTGGGCTACATAGTGCAAAACTGTCTCAACAAAAAACAATGGTCTTTTACATCCAGTGCCAGATAAAGCCACAAAGACATCGGACTTTCTATAGCTACAAACCAAAAATCTCAGACACTTGTTTTAAAGGAAATTTTGCTTCTATCAGACAAATTGAGTGCTAGGTCACATTGCTATTTGCTTTATTTAGTTCTCTTTATCCAGAAAATACTTAATACTTGTAGGTAAAAAGGAAAGAAAAGAAAGGTCCCACGTGGTACACGCACCTATAATTTCAACTCTGGGATGCTACTGATGCAGGATCTTCAGTCTGAGCTACATAATGAGTTCAAGACCAACATGGGCTGTATAGCAAGACCCTGCCTTAGAGGAGGTTAGGATCCCTAGCTGTAACTCAACTTTGCCTTGCCCTTGTAGGGACCTTTTGAAAGTTTAATTCAGGTGTACTGTAAGAAAACCAAGAAAGGCCCTAGAACAAGTTCAACTCATAGTATTTATTTGTTCTGAACATAACTACAAATAGAACAAGGTTTGTCAAATTGGATCCCAACTCTTTGCAGTTGAAAACCATTTGTTAACTACTCTGCAATAGGGGAATTGACTATTTAAACAAACACACCCAACAGTGTCTCTACAGGCTGGCTTTGTAAATACACCAAAGCAGATGTGCAGGGTATAGGAAGACATAGGCAGATGGCTAGTCATAGTCCCCCCAAATCATAGTGGCTCTGGTGGGTAGTGGCGGATCTGTGAGGACTATTCTTTTGGCTTTAAAAGAACCATTCCAGAAAGTCTAGAGCTGGGACAGCTCCCTAAGAAGGCCACTAGACATTTGAACTATGTAGCTTCAGCTGCCCTAAAGGGAGAGGAGATAAGTGGTTTATGGGAAAGAAGAAAAAAAAAATTCTAGAAGCCTTGAGAAAATGGTTCCTGTCTGGAATAATCTGGTGTCTTAATCTGTACATTCATTTCTTCTTTTTATGCACATATGTGCCAGTGTCTGTATCTGCATTTGCTCATAGGACGTGTGCACACCTACACACACAATTACCTGTGAGTCTATGTACATAGGCTAGAGGACAATCTTGGGTGTCATTCCTCAAGAACTAGCTACCCTTTCTCTTTCTTCTTCTTTTAAAGACACAGTCTCCCTGTGACATGGAACTCCCAAGTAGGCTAGGCTGGCTAGCCAGAGAAACCTAAGGATATGCTTGTCTATGCCTCTCCACCACTAAGATTACAAGTGTTCGCTATGACCCATCCGTGGTGGCACATGACTTTAATCCCAGCATTCCGGAGGCAGAGGGAGGTGGGTCTCTGTGAGTTTGAGGTCAGCCTGGTCTACAAAACAAGCTCCAAGACAGCCAGAGCTGTTACACAGAGAAACCCTGTCTAAATAAATAAACAAATATGTTTACTATGAACTCCCATCTCTTCTTACATGGGTTCTAGGGGTCAAACACAGGTGAGCACTTTATCAATTGAGCCGTTTTGCCAGCTCCAGTGTCTGTCTGTGTTTGCTTGCTTGTTTGTTTTTTTTGAGACAGGGTTTCTCTGTATAACAGTGCCCTGGCTATCCTGAAACTCCTCTGTAGATCAGACTGACCCTGAACTCTCAGAGATCTGCCTGCTTCTACCTCCTAAGTGCTGGGATTAAAGTTGTGTGCCACCAGACCTTGTTGGCTTCTATCTTTCTCTCTGCTTTTGGTTTTGTTTTGTTTTTTTTTTTCATTTGAGACAAGGTCTCACTGTGTAGTCCTGGCTGGTCAAGAAGTTGCTATGTAGACTAAGATGGCCTAAACTCAAAGAGACCTGCCTATCTCTGCCTCTGAAGTGTTGGGATTACAGATTTATACCACCACACAGTTTTTTCACAAAAGTGACACACCATAAATGCTGGTAAGAGTATGTACTGCTCTTGCAGAGGAGCTTAGTTTGGTTCCCAACACCCATGTTGACTGACTCATAACAACCTGTAACTATAGCTTCAGACTGTCTTGACACCCACCTTTGGCCTCTACCAGTAATTACACTCATATACACATACCACCCCCAAGACACAGGTATCCAGAGGATTTTTAAATCTATTTTTTAAAGCATCTTAAAAATACCCAGGCCAGGGGCTGGAGAGATGGCTCAGTGGTTAAGAGCATTGCCTGCTCTTCCAAAGGTCCTGAGTTCAATTCCCAGCAACCACATGGTGGCTCACAGCCATCTGTAATGAGGTCCGGTGCCCTCTTCTGGCCTGCAAGCATACACGCAGCAGAATATTGTATGCATAATAAACAAATAAATATTTAAAAAAAAACACAATGTTAAAAAAAATACCCAGGCCACCCACTTTTTAGTGTGTGTTTGGGGAAATGGAGGGTTTACAGTTGAAACAAAAGCTGTGTTTTTAACTATATTAAACTATTTCAACTTATTTTTAAATTTTAAAGAGAAAACAAGGCTGCCCCAAAACAGTAGATTTGAACCAAAACAGAGAAGTTTGTCTTGAGAATTCCCCAGGAGGCAACATAGTCATCAGTGACTCAAGAGAGCAGAGACAGAGTGGCCACCCTGTGGATTTATGACACTCCTTCCCCATGAGCCTTTCTAGGCCTCAGTTGTGAAATGAATAAGCTCAAAGTTAGTGTCTATCACATGATAGCTACTGTTCATGACCTCTCTATGTCAGCTAGAGGTTAGCCCCAAAGTCCTGGGTTCAGACATCTTCCTGCCTCAGCCTCCTAAGCAACTAGGATAATGAGCAAGTGCTTTTTTTAAATTAGATTTGATTTGTATATGTCAAGGCTTGCATATGGAGACAAGAAGACAGCCTGTTGAAGAGGATCCTCTGCTTCCCTACTATGTGGGTCCCACAGATCGAATTCAGGTTGATAGGCTTGACACCAAGCCTTATCTGCTGAGCCTCTCAGTGGACACAGGCATGCACTTCCTATCTTTGTTGTTATTTTGTTTTGAGACAGGATCTTACCTTGGCTGACTTCACACTTATTATGTAGACTAGGCTGGCCTGGAACTTCTAAGATCTTACTACATAAACCTCTTGAGTGCTGGATTAAAGGCATGCACCATCACACTCAGCTTTTTTTTTTTTCCTTTTGAGGGTCTTTCATGTCATGGGTATGTATGCAAGTGTGTCTTAGTGTATGTGTGTAGATCAAAAAGTAACTTAGAGTCACTTCTCTCCTGTCATGTGGGTCCCAGGTATGGAACTCAGGTTGTCAGGCTTGGCAGTAAACACCTTTACCTACTTAGCCATCTTGTAGGCCCTATATTTCTGGCATCTATACTTAAAGTAATTTGGGAATTGTTGGCAGAGTACTTGTTTAGTAAGCACAAAGTTCAAGGTTCCATACTAGCATTTTATAGAACAGGTCAAGGTGTTACATACCTATAATCCTAGCACTCAGGATATAGAAGCAGAAAAGATCAGAAAGTTCAGAATTCTATTTCCTATCTAGAGAGTTCAAGGCCAGACTAGGCTACGTGAGACCCTAACTCAAAACAAAGCAAACAGAAAACCAGCATTGAGTAAAGATGTTTGGTATGAAACAACTTGAAGAGGGTTCACGTGATGTGCCAGCCTTTCTAGAGCTCAGGCTGTACCTTACACCTGCTCTACAGTCCTGCTCTCTCTTTCCTCCCTGCACTTTGTATCTGAGCTCCATTTTTCTTCACTTCCCTTCCATCCTCCTTTCCCTCATTCTGTACTATCTCTACCTTCTTTGTCCATGACCTGACAGGCCTGTCTGTGTGCCTACCCTCTTTTACGATCTGGCCCACTTAACCAAGTGTTCTTTAGATTTGTTATGTAGTGAGCATTTCCCTCTTCTCTTTTTCCACCAGACAAGCTCTTTTTGGAAGTGAACTGAGTCACATGATTATCATTCAAAGGCATCTAAAATCAGCATTACTATTAACACTAGGAATAAAATCTGGATACTGATGATCATGACCTAAAGGAATTATGGGTAATTTTCTTTTGCATCTGGAGAAAGAACCTAAAAGGATTGGGGAGGGAAAAAGGCAAAAATGCCCTGTATCATTGAACATGGATGACATACTGTGGTGGTTTGACTGGCCCCATGGGCTCATATATTTACATGCTTAGTTCCAGTTGGCAAACTGTCTGGGAAGGATTAGGAGGCAGGCATGGGCTTATTGAAAGAGTTGTATCACTAGGAGTAGACTTTGAGATTTCAAAAGCCCTTATCAGGCCAGAGTCCCTCTCTTTGCCTGCCAATCAGGATGTAACTCTCTGCTGCTTCTCCAGTACGATGGGCTTGCCATCATGGCCATGTTCCCCCACCAAAAAGATAATGAGCTAACTCTGAAACTGTAAACAAACTCCCAATTAAATGCTTTCTTTTCTAAGAGCTGCTTTGGTCATGGTGTCTCTTCACAGAAATTATAACCCTAACTAGGACACACATGAAACTCATAAATTACATGAGATGTAGTTGACCTTTTCCTTAAGATCATGAGACTTCAACTTCCCCTGGCCTAGTGCCTCTCTGCTACCATCTCCTGGCATTTGACCTTTCCTACAGATGAGCCTCTCTCTTTGGCTCTTGGGTTAACTGAGCCAGCATCTGAGATCCACCTATTATTTCTACATTCTTAGCTTTGCTTTGGAAGTAGGCTACCCTTACTTCCCGTTTCTGAAAGAAACATGCTGCCCTGCCGCAGACCAGAACTGAGAAATTTCTGCTTCAGCCATATCCCCTAAAGGCTCCCTGTGCAAGTGTTTATCTGTCTCCAGACCCCTCTAGCAGGGCAGATCTCCCAGCAGGTCAGATCTGCAGGTCCAATCTCCTAGCA